CACTGTCTCCTAATCCCTGCTCAGCACTCCCCATCTCAGGCCCGGCTTATTTCCACTTCCACAGTTAGTCCTTTTGCCTTTCTCTTCCTGTCCCTGACGATCTCCTCCTGATTTAGCACAGAGATTTCCTAAGGGGTAGGCTCAGCCAATGCTTGTTCAATTATTTTATTCACATCTACTCTGACAAGTAGTATTTATCATTGATTTAGTTCCAAAAAAAATCAAAAGAAGCACAGAAATTTTTTTTTTTTTTTGGATAATCTCACTACGTTCTTGGATTTCTGAAAGCACTGAGCCAACAGCAAACACGCAGACTTTGGCCATCACCCTGAAGCGTACTGTTTCTGCCTAGAAGGGATTTGGGCTAATACTGAGAACAGCCGGTTGCTCTAACCTGACAAGCCACAGAGCCGTCGAAGGCGTTTCCTTGGTGAGAATAAGGTCACAGGTGTTTTTCATCCTGTTAACTTTCACCTGCCGCTTGGAGAATGTGGAAATCCAGGTTACTATACCATTCTATGTAGCAACAGCTCAGCCTGAGTCACCGCCCCGTACTGGGCAATATGCTATCGTTGTCTTCTGGAGAGAGAGACAGGCAGATGTGGTACTCACAAGCAAACACAATAAGACAGCAAAAGACAGAGGCACGAGTATTATGTTACAAGTGTGCCGAGAAGGAAATTTTTAATTCTGCTTGGGGAATCATCAAAGATATCATCAAGGAAGTATCTTTTAAGGTAAGCCTTTAAGAATGACGGAAATTTGGTGGGCAGAAAGTTGGAGCGAAGGTAAGCAGAATAAAAGAACAGAACGGCTGCTTACATAGAAGTGGACTGATGTGGTGTGGTCGAAGGCTGAGTGAAGACTGACTGAGCTGTCTGGGCACCTGATTCCTCTGCTTCAGCTTTCTGGTTCGTTCCACAGCTGTGTATACCATCTACGCTACTCAACATAATGCTTTCGTTAAGTGAATAATTTCTGTAGTCAGAATTCTTTTTTGAGCTGAAGTCTTCATTGCTACAAGGAATTCACCTTTAGTCGTTCTATGTTCAAGAAAGCATCCCAACGATATGCCACCCTCTCATATCCCCTGCTGTCCCTGTGAGTGGTGAGGGGATAACACCCTGAGAACCAGCCCGGGAAGTGTGAGGGCAGATACTGCGAGACAGGGCTAGGAAATACTTGGGTCTGATCAGGAGAGAACTCCGTAAATATGCTGCGACTTGATTTGCTCACAACACATTGATGGGTTTGGAAAAGGCGAACATGGAAATGTCGAGGAGCAGTTCCGGAAACTGGAAGGGAGTTCCCAGCAGCTGAAGGCAGACAGAAGGCTACAGGGAAGATGGGAAGGAATTCCCCCTCCCAGCACAGCAGTAGCAATGGAGATGGAGAGAGGGGGATGAGTGGCAGAAATTTTTTATTTAGGAGAAGGAAAAATGTCAAAGGTGGCCTCAAACCATTGAACATATGACATTTATCCTGAGGTCTGAAACATGATTCAGAGCTAGCCAGGCAAACAGCTAAGGAAATGGCATGCTGGCAAAGAAGCCAACCTGCGGAGAAGCCCTGAATCCCAATATCAGAATGAGCTGAAGGGCCTGAAACACAGTACAACGGAAAAGTCGGGGACTGGATCTCAAAGCGCCCACCATCTAGACCAAACCCTGGAGGCTGGGCTTCTTTCAAAATGGACACTTTCCTAACACGTAAATTCTGCCTCTGCCTCCCCAGAGCTGCAATTATAGGCACACGCCACCATGCCTAGACCATTTATTCTCTTACCTTTCTATATTTATAGCTAAGTGAGAACCAATAAGTACTCACCAAGTCATGGGCATGCCTTTTTGACACATGTCCCTGCTATGTGCTGCACAGTGACAGAATCAAATTTAAATTCACTCTACTGACTGCACCCAGATCCAAGGGAAAGCAGGCAATCGGCTTCAAAGACACTCAGACTCACCTAGAGAGATAATGATGGCTTTGAGCAGGTGGTAGCCTGGAAGTGGGAGCAGAATCATTTGAGCGATAGCAGAACTGGTAGAGATCATTAACTGACTCAAGGGAAGCCATGCTTCTAACTCAGTGGTTGTAGACAGTTATATTATGGTCTCGAAAATCTAAGAAATTAATCAATAAATCAAAGGAGCTGGGGAGAGGGTTCCACGAATAAAGCATTAGCTACACAAGCATGTGGGTTGAAGTTTGGCTCCCCAGAATCCACCTAAGACCAGGCAGGTGTGTCCGCTGCCTGTAATCCCAGCACTCAGGAAGCAGAGCCAGAAAAATCCCTGGAGTACACTGACAAGCTAGGATAGACATTGCTGAGTTCAGAGAGAAACCCTACGAGCAATCAAGGAAGATAAATGACATCAACCTTGGGCCTGCACATGCACCCACACACGTACATTCCCACACTTTCACCTGCACGTGTGTAAATATGCATACGCATGTGTTCATAACACACACACACACAAGAAAAAGAAAAATTACCTCTAGGGGAAAGCACCTTCACTACTTGTATTATGCACTAAGAATTCTAGCAAGTGAGACAAGATAGTAAAATGTTTACAGATAGCATGATTACCCAGAAAAGAATCCTAAGAAATTTATGATGTATGTGCTTGTGTATTTTTGGTTTTATTTTTTTCTTCTTTTGTTTGTTTTTTAGGCATTCAGCAGGCTGAAGTAGAAAGATTGCTAGATCGAGGCCAGTCTAGGTTGACTACACAATGAGATCCCATTTGAGAAAGAAAGGAATGGAAGGAGGGAGGGAGGGAAGGAGGGAGGGAGGGAGGGAGGGAGGGAGGGAGGGAGGGAGGGAGGATGAGAGTTAGGAGGATGGAAAGAAGGAAGGAAGGGAAGGTCAAAAAAAGAAGCAACTGAAAATAGACTTTAAAAATCAACACCATTAAATACTTCCTCAAATCAAATACTTATACATTCAACAAAAAGTTGATGTTGATAAGCACCTACGTAAAGAACAGATAAAGATCTCAAATAGCTAGAAACTTAAATTTATACCTCAAGGGAACTAGAAGCAGAACAAACCAGATTCACTAATGATAACATGAAAAAGGAATAATAGAGACCAGTGCAAAAAGAAATGAAATGAAAATATCAACAAAAGCAAAAGTTAGTCTCTTGAAGACAAAGATAAAATTAAATGGTTAACTGATAAACCAACAAAAAAGTGAATATTAAGTGAAATTTAAAAATTGAAGAGACATTATAACTACCACCAGAGAAAGAGTGGGAATCTCAAGAGACTTCTATGAGAAATATCATATAAACAACAAATTGTATAACCTAAACAAAGTGGATAAATATCTAGACATATACAACCCAGCAAGTATGGATCACAGAAAAACAAATATAAACTATACAAGTCAGAAGATGTGCATATACTATTAAGAGTCAGTAATCAGAAACCTCAACAAATCAAAGCCCAAGATCAGATGACATTGTCACTGAATTCTACTAAACATTCAAAGAAGAGTTACTATCAACAATACTTAAACTCTTCCCAAAAAGCTAAAGAGGAGAAGGGGTCCAATTCATTCACAAAGTCAGCATCATGGGGCCTGGAGAGATGACTCAGCAGTTAAGAGCATTGACTGCTCTTTCCAGAGGACCTGGGTTCAATTCCCAGCACCCACATGACAGTTCACAGCTGTCTGTAACTCCAGTATCTGACACCTTCACAAGACATACACGCAGGCTAAACACCAATGCATATAAAATTTAAAAAAATTAAAAAATAAACTTATAAAAAAAAGCACAAAGTTAGCATCACTGTGGTAGAATGTTCCAAGGGAAGTAGAAGCCCACATTCCTGATAAACAGAAGCAGAGCTCCCCAGCAAAACACTGGCAACCAAAGCCAGTACATCGAAACCATGGTCAAGTGATATTTATCCCTTGGAAGTGAATATGCACAATTTCAACATGTTAAATTCAGTAAATGCTAGTCACAACCTTGACACAAAGAAGAATAAAGATCACATAGTTGTCTCAATAAATACAGAAATCAACTTAACAAAATTCAATATTCATTCAAGGTAAATTTTCTAACAAATTGGGTATAGAAGAAATGTTTCTCAGCATAGTGAAGACTACATATAGAAAACTCACAGCTATAGCCGTGGTACACACCTTTAATCCCAGCACTCGGGAGACAGAGGCAGGCGGATCTCTGTGAGTTCGAGGCCAGCCTGGTCTACAAGAGCTAGTTCCAGGACAGGAACCAAAAGCTATGGAGAAACCCTGTCTTGAAAAATTAAAAAAAATTCACAGCTACAATCATACTCAATGTACAATGAAAAGATGATGCTTTTTCTGCTCTTATCCTTTCTCTTCAATAGAGTACTAGAATTTTTAGCTAGGGCAATTTGGAAAGGAAAAGAAATGAAGGACATCAAAACTGAAAAAGAAGTGGAGTTGTCTATTAGTAGATGGCATGATCTTATCTAGAGAAAACTCTAAAGTTTCCAACAAATACGGTTAGAAATAAGAGGTGATGTGCGCCTCCCAGGAAGTGGATATACCTTTGCACTTGCCCAGGGCCTGCCTTCCTGTCTCCCCCAAACCAGAGAGGTTAGCCCAGAGCCCAGCTGTGCCCTTCTACCACTGACTGGGTTGGCCACTGGGCATTCCTACATCCTCAGTGACCTGCACCTAGATTCTGTGCAGGATATCTGGGTGCCGCAAGAGCTGCTTCTAGCTCACACCATTGCTATATGGTAGCAACTGGCTGCTTGCACATAACGTTCTTCCTGTTGTCAGGGCCTACAGACCCTGATTTGGTTGAAGTGGAGAACCAGTGGTCATGCCCATCGGAGGCTACCAAAAGTTTTGTGTCAAAAGGAATTTGGTTGATTCCCCCCACAGTTCTACAAAGTGAGAATATTAGAAAATTTTCCCTCTAGCTGCTTTTCACACAGGTTTTATTTGGGTCATGTGTTGGGGTGAGCTGAAAGGTGACTGGACATCACATTTTTAAGAGCAGGATGGATGCTCTAACTCCTAGGAGGAGAGGAGCTATCCTTAGAAGATTCAGACTTTCATCCTGGGGGCATAGCTCAGTGGTAGAGGGCTTGTATAGCATCTGTGAGACCCTGGTTCCAATCCCTAGTAGGCATTTGGCACTCAGGAGGCAGAGGTAAGAGGATCTCAGTGAGTTCAAGGCTAGCCTGGTTTATGCAGTGAGTTCCAGAACAGTCAACAGTATATAGAGACTCTCTTTGTCTCTGTCTCTCTGTGTCTCTATCTCTGTGTCTCTATCTCTGTGTCTCTATCTCTGTGTCTCTGTCTCTGTGTCTGTCTCTGTCTCTCTCTCTCCTTGAAATAGAGTCTCATGTAGCCCAGGTTCATGAGGTATCCAAAGATGTCCTGAAACTCTTGGTCCTCCTGCCATTGCTAAGATCACCAGGTTGCACCACCACGCCAGCTCTTCTACCTCTTGAAATCCCACATTTGTGGTCAGAAAACAGTGCTGACATACAGGCATGGTCTGCTGGAGTCTACAAGAAGACAGGAGACTGGAGAAAGCGAAAGAGCGGCTATCAGAAGAGGTGGACGGTTTCCTGGTAGTTCTAGCTTAAGCATCAAAGTCAAACAGGGAGGAAGTTTAGAGGAGGTATCAGAGGGCTTGGCATGGTCTGGGGAGCTCCCCTTCCCCGTGTGTAGGAACACTGACAGCAGACTGTTGTGGGAGTCAGAGAGGCGACAGAAAATCTGCACCGCCCTGGACATTTTGAGGAGCTGGGGAAAGGCTGTACCCAGTACCACAGCAGCCCTAGCTGAAGCGAACACAAGAAAACCCTCTCCTCTTCATACTGGATGCGCAGCACTGGATTGGCTAGCCCTGAGACACCATCTCAAAACCACACCTGCTGTTTTGGTGTCTTTTTCATATATCTGTTTGTCTGAGAAAGGGTCTCGCTATGTAGCTCTGGCTGTCTTCAAACTCACTCTGTAGACCAGGCTAGCCTCTATTTCCTGAGTGTTGGGATTAAAGGTATGCACCGCTATGCCCGGCCTGTGTTGATGTCTTAGCAACATAAGGGCCTCTGTAAGCTGCACTCTGTGAGCTGCACCCTGGAGTACTCGGAGCAAGTGGCCTAAGACTTTATGCTGATTTAAAGTGGACCCCACTGCCGAGGATGTAGTTCCATGGTAGAGCGCTTGTCTAGCATGAACAAGGCCCTGGCTTCCATCTCAGGAGAAAAAATAAATTTGTTTTTTTATTAAATGAACAAATTTATTTAACAAAGACAGTGTTATGTTACTGCTGTAGGACGTAACATGTACGCATTTTCCAGCCTCTCATGTCTCTTTGCTAACAGAGTCACACTCCCCTCTTCTGAACAGTTGGCAGCCTTTGAAGCGAACAGAATAAATACAATAAAGCGGTTTCTAATCTACACTTTCTTCACAGCGTCACACTGCCTGGACACTGCAGGTAGGCCTCTACCCTCAGAATGTGTGGTCCTATCAGTTCAACAAAGCAAGGAAAATCTAGCTTTTGTAAGGAATTTCCTGAACTGCCAGGGCGAGGACAATCAGCCACCAGCCCAAAGTGCTTCTCTTCCCTTTTGCCAAGCAGTTCTGTCCTTTGACTCGAGCTGAAGGCCTGCTCTAAGAACTTCATCTCAGACTTCAGGAGGACCCAGATCCAAGGACCCAGACAGCAGCCTGAGGCAGAGCAAGAGATAGGCAATGGCTGAGGGGAAAAGAGAAGAAGGTCCCCACAGCAGCCTTGCCTGCTCCCTCAGTGGAGAGGCAGAGGTGACATGAGGCTGTGAGAGGTGTATGAAGCCTTGAGCGAAACTGAAGGGCATGTATCGTTTGTGTCTCCTCAGGAGCTATTCCCATCTTAGGTATACCCTATTGCCTGCTCTTCAGTAGCCTATGGCCCTTAGCCGTGCTCTCCTTAATCTGGCTTGTCTGTGACTGGAACACACACAGCCAAGGTAAGAGATGTGGGCAGGGTTGTGGGCCCTTCTGTGCTAAGGGTGGAGTCATAGGGACAGGGAAGAGGGAAGTGGATGGAACGATGAGGAGAAGAGGAGAAAGGTCTGGCTGGCTTCCCATGAAGCTTTAAGCGCCTAAGAATGAGGCTGCTTCTGTAGCCTGAGGAACAAAGGGCAAACTCTTCTTCAGCTCTGGGAGGGGTAGAGGGACTAGCAATGGCTCACTCGTTCTTCCCTTTGTCCTCTGTCCACAGACGGTAGGCGTTCAGCTTGGGTGCGAAACTGGACTCTCTGGAAGTATTTCCAAAGCTACTTCCCAGTAAAGGTAACTAAGTGCCTTTCCTTTGTGTGCCTATCTTTCTTCCAGATGGCCTTGCTCCTTATTGCTTGAACTCCCCGTCCATAAGGAGACCCAGGTTTTCAAGGGCTCTGACGGCTGGCAGTGAAAGCGAACACTTAGAGGCCTGATGTAGAACATAAATCCAAAATAGATGGGCAGGTGGAGAGACGGGTGAGCAATACTTTTCTACTGTGTCAAACCCAGGCCAGCATCACTTAGCACCACGATCCCTGGAGATCTCCATGACAATAACATCCTAATGAGCAAAGATCTAGAGGCTGTTGGCTTGGCTCTGAGTTTTCACATCCTTTCTTCCTTCTGCTTTATCAGTCTTCCTCAATCTTCCTCTAACAGCTGGTGAAGACCCATGACCTTTCTCCCAAGCAGAACTACATCATCGTCAACCACCCCCATGGCGTTCTCTCTTTTGGTGCCTTCGTCAACTTTGCTACTGAGGCCACTGGCTTTTCCAGGATTTTCCCATCAATCACTCCCTTTTTAGCAACTTTGGAAGGAATCTTCTGGATCCCAATTGTGCGAGAGTATGTAATGTCCATGGGTAGGTACAAGATATCATCCCATTCTGAAATCCAACTAAAGATGTCTACCCCAATAAGTGCCACAGTTTCTTTGTGATAGAAAACTTGGTTGACTTTGTTAAAGAGTTCAGCTGGCGTTGGGAGTATGTATCCTAGCATCAGTTTCTGTACAAAGGATGAGAGGCAGTTCGATTGGGCAGCAGGGCAAGTTACAGACATTCTCGAGTTGCCAGGATTCCTTACAAAGGGTAATCAGAAGGCTAAGTGCAGAATCAAGCCCAAATGGAAAGCAGAGAGTAAAAGCAGCATTCTAAATGTAAATACAGGGGAAATCGTACCAGATTCTTTCCTGAGATGGCACCTGGCTCCTTTCAGCTCTCCTTCCAAGGCACCATAAAGATTTTATAAAGTCTCTCATGCCAGTTAGTACATACAATCTTGGTCCATGTCCTGCATTTCCTGGGAATCCCTTCATCCTTGCTTAATATGCAAAAAGATAAAGGACAATCACCCATCAGAATTCAGGATAACTTCTCAGTGCCAGGCTTCAAACCAGGACACTGTGACAGATTCCCTTCTCTCTGGATGAATGTTTATCTTTCTGGACATCACCAAACAGCTGAAGGCAAACTAAAGGTAAGCTACATTTATCTTGAGGGGAATCCCAGAAGACGGTTCAGTACCCCTCTTAGGTTGCTATGTCCAGGTATAAGGGTTTCTCTCGATGACTAGATCTTGTACGCAAATTCTGCCATCCCAGTAGAGGACAGAAGATTAATTCAATGCAAAAATGGGATTTTAAAGTGATGAATGTCTGCAGCTTTTGTTGAACAACAGAATGTCATCCACATTCCATTGTTCATCTACCTTTCAATTTGGCTTGGTCTCCCTGCTCACCCAAAATCCGAGTCAAAGGGTCCTTTCAGCAGCTTACTCTTAGGGAGGAAGCACACTGGTGGTGGCTACCCTGATTACCTCTATAAGAAATACCTCTGGGGGATTTCCATAGTGGTCAGCCTGGACAGAAAGTAAGATAGCTCTACAGTCTATGGGGAGAAAGGGAAAGGGTTCATCCGGAAGACAAGAAACTATAAATAAAAGCAAGGGGGAAAACAGTATAGCCCTTACCGTAGAAGCCCAAAGTCCTACCAAGGTAAGAAAGCAGCTGCCACTAAGAATACCTTCTCAGGCTAGGGATAACCCAAGGCATGAAGACCGAAGACAGAAGACGGTAACTGTCTCTAGCAGGAAGATCCTAGGAGAAGCCTTCTCCCACATTTGGGCGCCAAGTTCATTCTGTCCACATGACTCTTTGGTTTCACAGGTATATGTCCAGTGAGTGAGTTGGCCCTGAAGCACAAGCTGACCCAGAAAGGCTCTGGCAATGCTGTGATCGTTGTGGTGGGTGGAGCTTCTGAAGCCCTCTTGTGCCGCCCGGGAGTCTCCACAATCTACCTCAAAAATCATAAAGGTTTTGTGAAGCTAGCACTGAAGACAGGGTGGGTCTTTAGGTCCGGGAACTCTCTTGTCATGGTGCCTTAGCCCTCTGTAGCTCTATCTACAATGACATCCTCTCTGGGAAACCTGCTAGATACCCCTTTCCTCTGATTATTTCCTGTTGCCCTTCACAGATGCCTGGGGGTGTTATTTGAATCCCCAAACACTTGGTGGGCACTTTTATATCTTGAAGTTGGGGAAAGAAGAGCAGAAAAGGATCCACTAGTCTGGCACTCTGAGAGAGAGTGGCTGTGTTCTCTCATTCACTGGGAGGCCCTGAGGACCACCTGTAACATGAGTGGGGGCCCAGACCTGCTTGCTGTTGGAGTTTTTGTCCCGCCCGGTACCCCAGCTGTTTAGTCCCAGAGAAAAATCACACATAAGTCTCCATAAATTATAAGCTGATTGGCCCATTAGCTCTAGCCTCTCACTGGCTAAATCTCACATCTTGATTAACCCATTTTTCTGATCTATGTTAGCCATGTGGCTCAGTACCTTTTTTCAGTGAGGCAGATCACATCCTTCTGCTTCGGTGGTCTGGGCAGGAATGGGAGTAATCAACTTCCTCCTTTCCAGAATTCTCCTGTTCTCATTGCATCATTTCTACTTCCTGTCTGGTTTTCCTGCCTATATTTCCAGCCTAGCCAATCAGCGTTTATTTATAACATGATTGACAGAATACAGACAATTCTCCTGCACCACTTCCCCCTCTTCCCCCCCCCTCCCCGCACCAACCACCCAAGGGCAATGAAGGGACTGGCTGAGAGTTCAGGGCATGACCGATCAGGGGATTCCCCAGAGAGTGTTAGCAGCAGCTGTCAAATACCTACTGTGTATCAAGGTTAGTATAGGACATTGAAATACAGGAATAAACAATATCTGGCACTTGTGGACTCACAGTCTAATGTAGATGACAAATACATGCACATATCATAACAAAACATATGCAGACTCCAGCTCCTTTACATCCCAACTACTATCCCCATACATTAGAACTACTATCTAAGCACCCATTATCTCTCTACTGGATCATTACAACTCTTGGAACTGCTCTTTCTGCCTCTGTTCTTGCTTCCCCCACCAAGATTCTATTCCCAGTTGTAGCTAGAACAATCCTGGTAACCATGAGTCAAGTTGTATCATATCTCAAAATGCTCCCAATGACTCTCAGGCCACACAGAGCAAAAGGTCTTGAAGAAGCTGGTCTTCGGCCACTTCCCTGACTTCACTGCTTACTATTCTTCCCATGGCCTCCTCCATTGCTGATAAACACCATGAGTATGGAGATTTTTCTTCTTCCTTTGTGTTCACTGGTGTATCCCCATGACCTAAAACAGTGCTGGCACAGAAAAAAGAACTCAATGGAAATGGGTTGGGAAAATGACATGTGATACATGAGACATATGCAAATTGCCATGACAGCATCAATTTATAGAAAGACCTTGTCCCAGACTAGATCTTTCATTCGAGAGTGACATCTGAACCATGTTAAAGTTAAAATATGAGTAGGAGTTGCCAGTCAGAATGAAATGGGAAAAGAGCCAGACATTGTGGCTGTAACTCCCCTTACTCTAGAATCTGAAGAGGGAAGACTACAAGTTCAAATCCAGCCTGGACAAGTTGGCAAGATCCTGTCTCCAGCTTTAAAAAAAATTTTAATGCCTGGGGTTCTTCCTAGTGATAAAGTACTTACCTGGCATGTGCGAGGTTGTGGGCTGAATCCCCAGCACCTCAAAACCAGTACAGTAAGTAAACAAACAGAAGTGAAAGCTCAGGCATTGGATGAGGAACCAGATAATATATGCAGCACTGCCCCAGACCCAACCCCAGGGATTCAATGAGTACTGTCAGGGTTTTCACTTCTGATCGGTCAGCCGGGTAAGGAGGTGACTATAAGGCAGAGCCTTATAAGAAGGAGAGAGAAAAGCACTAGCTGAGGGATAACAAATCCGCAGTGGGGAGTCGGAGTACTGAACGGTCAAATGGGCTTTGTCACGTAGAGAGAAGACAGAGGGAATAGAACATACAGACAGGTGAGAGAACACTTGGCACACTAACTGTGGTTAAGTAGTGGGGAACCTAGCCAGGCGGTGGTGGCGCACGCCTTTAATCCCAGCACTTGGGAGGCAGAGGCAGGCGGATCTCTGTGAGTTCGAGACCAGCCTGGTCTACATAGAGCTAGTTCCAGGACAGGCTCCAAAACCACAGAGAAACCCTGTCTCGAAAAAGAAAAAAAGAGTAGTGGGGAACCTGGCCACACAGAAAGGGCAAGGGCACTGAGCTTGTGCTAAGCAGTAAGGGCTGCAGTGAGGACTTCTGGGAGAACTTCAAGCAGGGGAGTGGCATGTATGCCTGTATAGTTTGGGGAAATCATGCAGGATGCCGAATGAAGGGACTAAGTCTCCTGAGCTACTTCTTCCCATCATGGGCTAAGATGCAGCAGCCACACTGATGCTCCATTGGAGGAAGTGGGATGGCAGGAATGAAACATGAGACCGGAGATGTCTGGGTGCTTGGAATCTTATCCTGTTGTTCAGAGGTTGGGGATGTTCCCGCCTCAGACAGAGTGTTGCTGGGGGTGAGGGGGGCTGCCTCAGCTCATACTGCTGCCTCTCTCTTTGCAGGGCGTACCTTGTCCCATCTTACACCTTTGGTGAGAATGAGGTTTTCAACCAAGAGACCTTCCGTGAAGGCACATGGCTAAGGTTCTTCCAAAAAAACTTCCAGAAAATTGGCAAAACAATCCTAGGCCTAAACTTCTGTACTTTCCATGGCAGGGGCCTCACTCGGGGGTCCTGGGGCTTCTTACCTTTCAATCACCCAATTACCACCATTGGTAAGTTTTCTGCTTTTCCTAGGCCACTCAAGTTCTTGGTCTTCCACCCAAAGTCGGCCACCAATCCCCAGGCAATCTGGCTCAACAGCCAGGGTCTACTAAGGGGCATTGCAAGAGGTGCAGCTGAAAGCAGGGTAGTAAGGGCAGTCAAACAGTGGGGAGCATCCATAGGTGGGACAGAGCTCATCGGCTGTCAGAGAAACATCCTTATTCAACTACACCCACTCAGCTCTTTTCTGTGCTTGCTTTCATTCTCCGGAACACTGGTGAAACTTAAGTGACCAGAGAATGAGCGCCAAAACATAACTGCAACAAGAGGGAAGAAGGAAGGGAGGGGACTGGATACTGTTGGAACGGGATCCCTACTGAGGTGTGGGTGGTGTCCTTGGGGTAGGGACTCTGATGCTTGTCTCTTCTCCTCCATAGTTGGAGAACCCCTGCCAATCCCCAAGCTCAATGATCCCGACAAGGAGACGGTGACAAAGTACTTTGAGCTTTACATCAGTGCCCTACGCAAGCTGTTTGACCAGCACAAAGTGGAATATGGCTTCTCTGAGACCCAGGAGTTGACAATTATATAACAGGATCCAGAATCTCCGTAACTACAGCTCAAATCCAGAAGACATCTGAGTGAAACCACAGGGAAGGGAGAATATGGGGACAGAGGTGGATTTTAAAGATGTGAAGAGATGCCAACCGAGCCAGAAGTGCTGAATGAATTGGCAGTCCAGCAACTGAACCCCCACCCATGTAGCCAAGACAGACTGGGTAAAGGGAAGACAGGAGAGGACTGGTGAAGGCTAACTAACAGAGGGGGTAGGTCTGTCACGCCTTGGTGCTTTATGACAATGACCCAGTTTAGGAGTCTTGGAAGTTGGTCATCAACTCCATAATAAAAGCAATGAGAAGTCAACGAACTCTGTGCTCCTTCCACACAAACCTTGGTGCCTTCGTCGTTAGTATTTAGGGTTAAGCTTGGAAGCTCGACTTAGAAGAGAACTGGGTTGGATCCCCTAAGGCCAGGCCCTTATTATTTAAGGACTTGGTCAGCAGGGGGCCTGAACTGTGGCTTCCGAATTCAGATAGGACTCTGTCAACTATGCTGGTGTTTCAGATGGCCCTGTTTCACCCCCAACAACGAAGCTCCATAATAAAGCACTGTGCAACTCCTTCCTAGTCACCCTGGAGTTCTGCTAATGTGCAGACAACCCGTTTCTTTGCCTCAGCCGTCCTTGATGCTTTTTCATATAAAGGGTGAAGGAATGGAAGCACAGGTGCTTCACAGTAGAGCAAAAGCCCAGCAACTGGGCCAGATGTCCACAGAGCAGCTGCTGCTTCTGATCCCACAGGAAACCATCCTGGACCAGAAGGAGGGTGTGACCAGACTGTTCAACAGCCATAAGTTAATTTGATGTCAAATACCTGCTATATGCTAGATCATCAAATTCACATCTTTTGTCCCAGTGGTCACACCATCCCTATGAGACTGTATTTACCATCATCCGCATTTACCAGTAGCTAGACTCCTTAGAAATTTAGTAACTTGTCCAAAGCCATATGATTTTGTATACAGTGAGCATTCAAACCCATGTCTCACAAATTCCAAACCAAAGTTCTCTCCAACATACCTAGATCACTACTCCCTCATTTTCTAGAGGCATATTTATCAGTTTGATTTCCATTTTTTCTCTGAAACACCTCATTGCATATGCATGTACATTGTACATGGCATCGTCACACAGAACCCTTTCACACAAGTACACATTGTTGTACATTGTCCACAAGCCTATCTAGCTTCTAAGTCACTAGATAGCTGACGACAATTTTGAAAATCTGATCTTCCTGCCTTCTTTCCCGGAAACGTTGGATTATAGATAGGCATGTGCCAGCACCTGGTTTGATGCAGTGCTGAGGATCAAGCCAGAGTGTTGTGCATGCTAACCACTCAGGCTACTGCACTACATCCCTAGGGCAATCAAATTCCCTTACATAATGTCCCATAGTCCTCCAACAAAACTAGTTCTTTTTTTTTTCAGTTTTTAGGGATTTTATTTTATTTTATATTTTATTTTATTTTTTTTAATTTTTATTTATTTATTTATTAAAGATTTCTGTCTCTTCCCCACCGCCACCTCCCATTTCCCTTCCCCCCCCCCTATCAAGTCCCCCCCCCTCGTCAGCCCAAAGAGCAGTAGGGTTCCCTGCCCTGTGGGAAGTCCAAGGGCCACCCACCTCCATCCAGGTCTAGTAAGGTGAGCATCCACGAAACTGCCTAGGCTCCTACGAAACCAATAGGTACAGTAGGATCAAAAACCCATTGCCATTGTTCTTTAGGTCTCAGTAATCCTCATTGTCCACTATGTGAGCCTATAATTCAGGTTCTTTGAGAAGCTAAATAAGAAGGAGAACCCAAAGAAAATCATATAGGCTTCCTCCTGAATATTAACCTTCATCAGGCGATGAAAGGAGACAGAGACCCACAATGGAGCACCGGACTGAAATCTCAAGGTCCAAATCAGAAGCAGAAGGAGAGAGAGCACAAGCAAGGAACTCAGGACCGTGAGGGGTGCACCCATACACTGAGACAATGGGGATGTTCTATCAGGAACTCACCAAGGCCAACAGGCCTGGGTCTGAAAAAGCCCGGGTTAAAACCGGTCTCGCTGAACATAGTGGACAAAACTAGTTCTTAAGCCAGACAAAATAGGCATGGTTCTTTAAAGAACAGAACTGTAGAATGAATACAAGAAAGCAGAGACTCTAGTAGTTTTTCAGTCTGCTAGGCTGGATGTCTCAGCATTCCCAATCTGGTGCTGGAGCCCTTATGGATTCCTGGAGAGCTTCTGATCTTCAGTCTATGTTAAATCACAAAGAAGTTGGTTCTAATACCAGTGAAGGAATACTCACAACAGGATAGATGAATTTGTCAACAAAAGGGTGCAAGCAGGCAAAAGCAAAGCTTCCTTCTTCCTTGTGAACTGACATCAGAAAGTGTGACCCAGGTTTAGGGTAGGACTTCCTGTTTGAGGTAATCTGATTAACACAATCCTTTGCAGCATCTTGAGTTTTAATTGATTCCAGATGTTATCAAGTTAACAAGTAAGATTAGCCATCACAATTGTGTCCGGTGTATGTCAGGAAAAATAGTTCATTAGAAAATTATGTCAATTAAATGAAATTAAGAGTGTAGAAACAACAAAAAATGGGACATTACTCCAAGGAAATCCTGAGAACCATTAGGTCACACTTCAAAAACCTGTACTACACAAAACTGGAAAATCTAAAAGAAATGGGCAAATTTCTTCATAGATACCATTTACAAAAGTTAAATCAAGATCAGTAATCCCTAAGGAAATAGAAGCAGTCTTTAAAGTCTCCCAGTAAAATAAAATCCCAGGGCCAGATGGTTTTAACGCAGAATTCTACCAGACATTTAAAGAAGAGCTAATGCCAATACTCCTCAAATTATTCCAAAAAAACAAAAACAGAAGGAGCATTGCCAAATTCTTTCTATGAGACCACAGTCACTCTGATACCCAAACCACACAAAAACTCAACAAAGAGAATTACATAGCAATTTCACTCATGAACATTGACGCAAAAATAATCAGTGAAATACTGGTAAACCGAATCCAAGGACACTTCAAAAAGATCATACACCATGACCAATTAGGCTTCATTCCAGAGATGCAGGGATGGTTCAACATACAAAAATCTGTTAATGTAACCTACCATATAAACAACCTGAAAAAAACATATGATCATCTCGTTAGATGCTGAAAAAAATCCTTCGACAAAATTCAACCTACCATGAGACCCAGCTATATAACACTTGGGCATATACCCATAGGATGCTCAATTATACAAGGACACTTGCCCAACTATGTTCATTGCAGCATTATTTGTAATAGCCAGAAGCTGGAAACAACCTAGATGCCCTTCAATGGAAGAATGGATAAAGAAAATGTAGTACATTTACACAATGGAGTAGTACTCAGCTGTTAAAAACAATGGCACCAGGAAATTTGAAGGCAAATGAATGGAACTAGAAAAAATTATCCTGAGTGAGGTAACCCAGACCCTGAGAGACAAGTTTGATATGTATTCATTCATAAGCGGATATTAGCTGGAAAAAAGAGGACAGCTATGCTATAAGCCACAGCCCTAGAGAGTAGGTAACATGCCTGCGTATCCCTAGAAACACAAATCAGTATCACCTTGAAACCCTTTCACTGCTAAAACTATAAAAATGACAGCATCAACTATCTGTTGGATGTTGAGAAACCAGAATTCTTGGGCATTGCTTATGAAAATATAAAATGGTGACGCTACTTTAGGAAAATACTGACATTCTTCAAAAAATTAAGCATTGAGTTACTATATATTTTGGGGTTGGTTTTACTTCGACTTGATATAAGCTAGAGTCATTTAAGAAGCGGGAATCTCAATTGAGGAAATGCCCAAAATGGCCCATGGGAAAACTCTGGGATGCATTTTCTTGATTGATGGTTGGTTCTGGAGGGCCAGTTCACTGTGGTGTCGCCATTTCTGGGCTGGTGGTCCTGGCTACTGTCAGAAAGCAGGCCCAGCAAGCCATGGGGAAATATTAGTTTAAACATTTGGGTTTTTTGTTTATTTGGTTGGTTCATTGGTTGGTTTAGGTGTTTTAGGTAGTTTTTTCCCCCTTTCTTTCTTTTTTTTCAAAAAGTTTTTTAAAGTCTGTTTCTTCCCATTACAAATATTGAGCTTTATTGAGAAAGACTTTTATTATGTGGTCTAGGATAGTTCTGAACCCATCAGCTTCCTGGCTTAGTCTCCCATGAAATGGTGAATTTTGTGTTGTGTGAATTCTGTCTCAAAGAAAAGGGGATATTTAAGGAAAAGTATTGCCACTGGGTCATATAGCTCAATTGAACAGTGCTTTACTAATTTCATGAGGTTCTGGGTTCAATCCCAATAAGTGGCAAAAAAAATAAGAAGGGTCTTAAAGGAAAAATAATCATGGTAAAATGTTAATGAGTCTTATTTTAAAGTAACTTGTCAGTTCACCAGAAGTCACAGGAGTAGAATCTCTTGAACATTTATCCAGCTTCACACAATGATGATATCTTATAGAAATGTAATGCAGTATAAAAACAGGCAATTAACTTGATACAGTATTGCTAACTGAAAATAGGCCTCATTCCATGTTCCCTATATTCACATGCATAGCTTATGTCTGTGAGCACTTCTGTGTGCACAACTGGCTCTCCACATAGATTAGTATAGCCATTATGCTCATCATACTATAGAACTGTTTCATCAACACAGAGAAATGCCCCATGTTATTCAGTAAAATACTGCCTTTACTAATGTTGCCCAGCATTACTCCTGCTTTCTCCATCTCTAAAGCTGTGTCATTCCAAGGATGGTACACAAGTGGAATCAGAGAGTGTTCAATCTGCTGAGATCTGCTCTTTTCACTAAGCGCAATGCCCTAAAGATCTAAGTTATCACGTATCAAAATAGCCTTCCTTTGACTGAGCAGTAACTGTTCCATAGCCTGGTTGTGGCACAGTTGTTTAACCATTTATTCACTGAAAGACATTGTGTTGTTTTTAGTGTGTGTGTGTGTGTGTGTGTGTGTGTGTGTGTGTGTGTGTGGTGTGATGTGGTGTAGAAGTCAGTTCCACCCACCCTGGGTTCTGATGCTCAAACTCAAGTTGTCAGGCTTGTACAGCAAGTACTTTTATTCTCTGAGCCATTTCGTTAGGCCATAGATTAGTTCTTCAATACTGAATTTTGTGGGTTCTTTATAAATTTTAGATGCTATTTGCTCATTGGACATATGGCTTGTAGATCTTTTTTCTTCTAGTCTGTGCGCTGTTTTCAACTTTTTGAACAAAGATTCTTGCTGTGTAGCACAAGCTGGCCTGGAGCTCATGTATCTCAAGCTGACTTTGAACTTGCAATCTTCCTTTTCTCAGCCTCCCTCCTCCACACGCTGGAATAACTTGTGAGGAAGAGACAAGTAGATTTCTGTAAGTTCAAGGCCAGCCTGATCCACAGAGTGAGTTCCAGGACAGCCAAGGCCACACAGAGAAACTCAGCCTCACCCCACCCACCTCCAGAAAAAAAGAAGGAAGAAGAATCCCCTTCAAATACATACATTATATATATGAAGATGTCACAATTAAACCCATTATTTTGTACACTTAATATACACTGATAAAAATAAGTTCCATATAGAATTCTGCATCACTAGTAAAGTCTTATCCAATTATTGAAATATGGAAAACATTTCTATGTTGATAGAGTAGCCAACAAAGGAAAACTGCCCACTTTTTTATACTGGAGATTTAACTTAAGGCCTCCCACAAGCTAACCGAGTGCCCTACCATTGAGCCCCAGCCCTCTTTTTACTATTGATTTTGAGACAAGATTTCACAAAGTTACCCATGCTGGCCTGGAACTCATTCTGTAATCCAGGTAGGCCTCAAATTTGTGATTCTCTTGCCTTAACCTCTGAGCAGTTGAGATTACAGAGATTAAAGGCCTCTCTAATATATTTTAAACATATTTGTGTGGGGGGGTGTATGTCATGTTAGTGCTGGTACCCACAGAAATCAGAAGAGGTAATAGGATCACTGGAGACCTGGAGCTGAATTTACAGGTGGTTGTGTACCACCCAACATGGGTACTGGGAAATGAACTTGGGTACTTTGAAAGAATAACATATGTTCTTGACCACTGAGCCGTCTCTCCAACCCCAGTATTTTATTATATGCTAAAGTAATAATTAAAATACTTAAATGTGGGCTAAAGAGATGGCTTGGATTTTAATTTTTAGTAGACTTTTTATTACTTTATAAATAATAGGAGTCAAAATTTCCACTTCCTCCCCTCCTCCCACTTCCCTCCTGTTCCCTCACTCCCTCTCCCCCTCTCCCCTCCAGTCCTAAGAGAGGGCAGGGTACCCTGCCCTGTGGGAAGTCCAAGGCCCTCCCCCCTCCATCCAGGCTTAGAAGGTGAGCATCCAAATAGACTAGGATCCCAAAAAGCCAGTACATGCAGTAGAAACAAATCCCAGTGCCATTATCACTGGCTTCTCAGTCAGCCCCCAATGTCAGCCACGTTCAGAGGGTCCAGTTTGACCCCATGCTCATTCAGTCCCAGTCTATGCTGCTCCTATAGAAGACCTGGGTTCAATTTCCAGCATTCAAATAGAAGCTCACAACTCTCTGCAACTGCAATTCCAGGGAACTTGATCGCCTCTTCTGGCCTCCCCAGAATCTACATGCACATACTTCCCTTACATTGTTTTTTTTCTTGCTGAAACATGCATGGGCAGCCCGTATATGGCGGTTCTGTTGAACTTGTCCATATTGGGTTTACGGTCCTAGCTGATGAGGACAACTGACCATATATCTTCCTCAAGAGGGCACCAGGTCTCATTACACATGGTTGTGAGTCACCATGTGGTTGCTGGGAATTGAACTCAGGACCTTTGGAAGAGCAGGCAGTGCTCTTAACCACTGAACCATCTCTCCAGCCCCAGAGACCGTACATATACACATACAAAACACTCTTACATATATAAAAATAGAATAAATAAAATAAACAATAATAATTAAATTATTAGAATTGCTAGAATTAAGACACACTTCCAAGACATCAAAAAAGACATCTAGAAAGGTTTAAGCAGAGATAGGAATGTATTGGTGCTGGAGAATTGTCTGTATTCTGTCAATCATGTTTTGAATAAATGCTGATTGGCCAGGCAGGAAGTATAGGTGGGTCAACCAGACAGAAAGTAGAGGCGGGGCAATGAGAACAGGAGAATGTTGGGAAGGAGGAAGCCCAGTCCTGCCCAGACCATGGAAGAAGCAAGATGTGACCTACCCCACTAAAAAAGGTACCGAGCCATGTGGCTAACATAGATAAGAATAATGGGTTAATATAAGCTACAAGAGCTAATAAGAAGCCTGAGCTAATGGGCCAATCAGTTTATACTTAATGCAGACTCTCTGTGTGATTTTTTTGGGGACCTAATGGCTGTGGGAACTGGGCAGGATAGAAACCAACAAGCAGGCCCTCATGCTACAATGTATGAAAAGTCTATAGAAACCTATAAGTTAGTAAGCTAATTTATACACATACATATATATATATATATAATTAATTTAAAAGACAACTGCTCTTGGCACACTCAGAAGCACACTATCAGAAGCTTAAGCATTAGATATTGCAGACAAGGCCCATTAAGTGGCCTCTCGGTTCTTTATTACAGAATTTCACTTGTGAGGGAGCTGAATGGTTTTTAGGATCAATAGCCCCTTGCCTGAAACATGATCTCTGATGTTGAAATGTCTGGACCTGAACCTCATAGTCATGGATTACTCAGACTTTTTAAAATGTAAACTTCCACAAAATAAAAAAAAAAATCATGACCCAGTTAAAAGAGTTTGAATGAAGTTACCCTAGATAGGTGGATAATGCTGCTACCAGAAACCATGGCTTATTAAGCAAAAATCCCAGCACCATGCATGAAACACTTCCCTATGAGCAGTTGGCAAGAAAGCCTGCCCAAAGCAACCAGATGATAAGAACCTATCGCCGGACTCAGACGATGATGGCACACGCCTTTAATTCCAGCACTCAGGAGGAAGAGGCAGGCAGATCTCTGTGAGTTTGAGGCCAGCAGCCTGGTCTTCAGAGAGAGTTTTAGACACAGAGAAACACTGTCTCAGAAGGAAAAAAAAAACCTATTGCTGAAAACACCAAACACTTTGGTTTCAGGACAAAGAAAAAAATCAACCTAGAACTAACATGGAAAGTTCCTTTCTGCTGGCTAGCTTTAACAATGCTGAAAGATGCTATGTAGGCCACTGGGGGGCAAAATCATGAATGTTCTTACCCAGTGCTGGACCCTGCATGTTCTAACAATACTGACCTGTCAGTCAAGATACACCCGCTGTCACAATAGTGGCGTGAATAGCTCTGATTCTATTTGAATCCAACTGCATAGGAGGGAATTCATGCCTGGTACCATAGCTCACAGACCTTAGGGAAGAATTAATTACTGTTAGTTTGCTAAACGAAGATGTTGTCAAGCTGCCTCATAAATACTTACATTTATAGCCACAGATTTTAGTACTGCTCCATTCCTGGTCTTCAGAAGAGTTTCATTTTGTCACAGGCAACAGTTAATGTAAAGACACATGGTGCTCAGGAAGAGACTGGTGAGCATTTAGTCCCAGACATCTGCATCACCCCTATCCCCAAGGCTCAGGGAACACCATGAAGGAGAAGGTGAAAAACCTGTGAAAGAGGACGGAAGGGAATGTTGTGAAACACTGTCTTCTGAACACAACGTGGCCCTTGTACTCATGAAATTACAGCAGCTATGGTTACCAACACCAGGCCTGCACCAGATCTGGCCTCCACATATGTGCACACAAATGTGCACACCCACACATGCACTTACACATACACACACACACACACACACACACACAGAATGTCTGTCAACACAGTTACTTACACTTTTTTCTAATTGTGGCCAAAGTGTGTGGGGGGGAGAATAGAATAAAAAGTAAGAAAGCAACAGAGTTACATTTATAGGCAAGCCCTTTTTCTCACAATTAAAATCCTCACAGTAAGGTCCAAAGTCCTGTTTATACTGATGACGTCAACTGTTCACAAGCTGAGGGCCAGGTGAACTGGAGGAAGGAGACTGGTTTAGGGCGAGGGAAAGCAGGTGTCAACTTTCTTAGGTCTGGGCAAGTGCTTGGGATGGTAGTGTAAGTATTTCTTAAAGATTTATTTTCTTATTTTAATTATGCTTAGGTGTGGGGGGGGTATGTGTGCATGTGTATGGGGGTGGTACCTGAAGAGCCCAGAGATATCAGATCCCCTGGAGCTGGAGTTACAAGCAGTTGTGAGCTGACTGAGCGTGTGCTGGGGACAAAACTCAGGTCTACTGTGAGACCAGTATGTGCTGATAACAACAGACCCGTCTCCAGCGCCTATTCTAAGTTACTGAAGAGGAAGCCACTAAAAGTCTGCAATGGGAGAGGCCATGAAATCTGATCCCCTTTACACTGTTCTTCAGTTATTTTTGGTCAGTTTCCTTCCAGTTGAACAGCTTTTCAGTTTTCCAGGGTTTGAGAAATGTCCAAGCAGTTTAAAGCATCAACAAAAGTTGTGACAAAACTGAAACGCACTGCTTTGATTTTTGGACTCAAATAGTAGATAATGAGCCAAGTAACTGTTTTTGGCAAAAGCATTGTTTCTCTTTGAGCACATAAAAACAAGCAGAGTGCGCTATCAAAGGAAGGTATCCCATCTAGTGTGCCAGCTACGGGCAAACTTGTTGGGTAGAGCAGCAAAACTAAGGAAGGATGTGCACAGAGCCCAGCAGAGATCACTTTCATTACAGCAAGGTTACTAGAACTCAGCCAAGAAGATGCTTGTTATTTGCAACCGAGTATCAGTGAGATCGAACTGAACATTCTGTTATCTAATGCTACCACGAATTCACAGTGCTGAGAAATACAAACCAAGGCCTGGAATTTTTAGCAATTCAGCGAGGCTGGCTGGCGGGCAGCTCCAGATAACTTCCTGCCTCACCTTCACAGCCCTGACTTTACAGACCCTGGCTGCCTGGCTTTTTACGTGGTTGCATGCTGGGGATCGAACTCAGTGTCTCATGTTTGTTTGCCAAGCACTTTACCAACTGAGCTATCTCTGCTGTTGCCTAATAAGATTTTCTTTAATAGTTATATAATATTTCTTAGACTGCTATCTTTATGAGATATACACTTTATTACTCTGAGGTTCTTTAATGTCTTTTGCAAAAGCAAGTTGCCACTTGTCATGTTCGCTTCTGAAAAATAAAAGTGTAACATTAAGAATATCTTAAATGCACTTGGAAGGTTTGGGGGATAATAAAGAATGCCCTTGACAATACTTACCAGGAAATTGTGACATCCTTGTTCCAAATTTCAATGAGACAACACTATTACCCAAGCACCCAAACATGCATCACAGTATTGTCTAATGTCCTTTAGAATGTGTAGAGCGCAAGATAGTTGAATGAAATTTCTGCCCAGCTATCTCTCAATAGGTGTCCCTAGGATGCCAAAGGCCCAAGTTGAATCCTGTCCCGTGACTGCAGGACATGGAAGGATCAAGCTGGGCGATGGAGAGAGTATACAGGGAAAACAGATGGGAGGGGCAGAATTCCCTGTTAGAAGAGGCCTTAAAACTTACTACCAGTCCCCTGACCCAAGACTGTCGTGGAGAAAACTATTCAGAGCATCTCCGCACCGCAATCTTCGGATGTACTGTGTAAGGAAGAAAAAAATGGGGGGGGAGGATTTAGGGCCTGTAGTATGGACTCACCCAGATCTGGTAGAGTTTTTCTCAACCACCAGCTTTCTTGTTTCCCATAGCAACTAGAAGAAAATAGAGCTTAGGGATGGCCTGGGACAGGAATTGGGTGAGTCAGGAAGCAGCAGTTGGACAGATAGCTAGAGGAGAACTCCACCCCCTTTACAAACCAGGCTGCCTGGAGGTCAGCCAGGCAATAGTCTCAAAGCATCTGTACAAACAAATCCTCCCTGAAGACAAGCAGAGTCTGCTAGATGCCTTATCTTTATCCCCAAGATCACCCATACCATATGACACACAGAGGTCAGGCCGGCACACTGTGTTCCTAGAGGATTAGCACGTTAGCAGGCGTGTCATCGTGATGTGGCGCTCCATGTCCTCAAGATGTCATACACTCTTCTAATATAGAATTAGAGAATTCCTACTAGGGGGCAGGCACTGGTCGGGATGCTGGGCTGGCAGCTGAAATAAAATAACTGGACAGGCAGACAAGAAAGCAGCACTGTCATGTTCCTATCAGTTACTGCCAGGAAGAAAATTGAAGAAAGTTTAATTAGCGATCAGTAGGTAGCAGGGAATTATATTTTAACTATAGCCGCAAGAGAGGCCCCCAGTAATGTATTACTTGAGCAGAGATCTGAATGAGAGGGCCCAGTCCTGCTTACTCCAGGGGAAGGATAGTCCAGGCAGAGGGATCAAAACACCCAGGAAAGTCAGTATACTTGCCATGAAACTGTCAGGGAACAGACAGACAGTAACTGGAACAGACTAAATAGGGGAAGAAGATAGCAGAAGATCTGAAATAAATGGTGGCTTGATCAAGTAGAACCTCCTAGAGCCAGGGGTAACTTTAGATATGGTTTCTTATCTAAATAAAGACTGGAAGTTAATTAATGCTTTTTTAACATCTATCAAAGTATGGAGGATAGGATGATAACTCTCCTTAATCGTGTCACCTGGATTTCACAGTTAGCCCAATTTTACTGTTACTACTTGTCCTAGCTAGTCTATCCTTCTGTATATCACATCTAAAAATAAAACCAATACATCAAAGCCTATTTTCTTATATAAAATAAAGCTATTATCACACCTAACCAAATCAACCAGTTCCCCATATAATACTCTGTGCTTAGCTGAGCTCTTACGGCTGCCTTCAAGCCATGTTCCCGGTTAGCTTGTGCTGACCTATAAACTATTTGTATGGCGTTGTTCCTTTCCTTTTCACCGCACTTTGCTCATATCAGTGATTTCTTAAAACAGAAAACTACAACATTGCCCTACAGAGGCAAATCCTATATTCCTGATTTGTCTGTTTGCCTCCTTATGATGTATGCTAACTTATTTATTTTCCTTATTCCTGTAAAATAGATGTCAGCCTGAAGGGATGTAGATTCAGGTTCAACCAAGGAGGCACAGAGCTATCTCTTCAGATACTCTAAGGTTTTATCGGCAGTGCAGATGCTAACGGTGTCTGCCTTTCTTTCTCTTCTTCTTCTTCTTCTTCTTCTTCTTCTTCTTCTTCTTCTTCTTCTTCTTCTTCTTCTTCTTCTTCTTCTTCTTCTTCTTCCTCTTCTTCGACAAGGTCTCCTGTATCCTGGACTAGATTTTGAAACTTGCTATAAAGCCAAGGATAACCTCACACTCCCCATGTTCCCACCTCAGTCTCCCGAGTGCTGGGATTACAAGTGTGAGCCACCCTGCCACACTGAAACTTTTCATTGTGACATTCTAAAGAAACCTTTCACCTCATGATGTTAGCAGTCACTGATGATGACCATTCGTTGCCTGACACTATTGTTTCTTCAGAGATTGAACAATAATGTTTTTCTACTTCTGTCATTCTTCCCACACTTATTAGCTGATATGATACAGTATATTCAGAAAAGTTTCCTTTCCAACAACAGCTCACTCACTCCCCACAGCTAACTGCATTTGCTAATTTAGTGTTTTCTTCCTTCTAAGTTTCTTTCAGCAACCAAAAGAATTTTTATTATGTGTGAATGTATGTGTATGAATTTGTTTATTACAAATGTTTGTATATACAAATTCTAATATATATGCATGCATTTCTCATGTTATGTGAATATGTACATATTCCAATTTACCTCTCCTTGTACAAAATGTAGGCTTTGTATGCAATTTTGTACCCTACTTTTCTTTTTTACTTAAACATGTCGAAGAGTGCTGAGCATATGATACACACCTAAATCCCAGCAGCACTCAAGAAGCTGAGACAGGAGGATCACAAGTTCCAGTGCAATCTGGGCTACATAGTGAGACCTTGTCTCAAGAATAAAAACAGAAAAAAAAAACCTGTCCTGGGACATTCTCCACATCATCATCCAGAAATAGCCCTCATCCCTGGAGAGGCTTTGAGCAGGGACATGGCGAAACCCGACTCAGGGTTTACAAGCCTTCCTCTAACTGCTTGTAGAAAATGGAATTTAAAGAAACAGTACTAAACAGGGAAACTACTTGGTCTAGAGCGTTCTGATTCAGCCAGTTTAGGTCATGCCGGTAAAATGAGACCATAACATGAGATGGCCTAGCCCTAGAGCTGAGCTACCAGAGACCAAATTCATCGCCGTCTTATTTAAAGAAGCTGTGACATGCGCTCAGCCTACATTCTAACTTACATAAATCAGTCTAGTACCAATATGCTCGTTCAAATGTGCACTTATCACTGCAACTAAAGGAGTCAAAATGAGTGGCTTCCTTTCGTGTGTGTGTGTGTGTGTGTGTGTGTGTGTGTGTGTGTGTGTGTGTGAAGCATAGGTCTACAGGCCTATGTGGAGGCAGTGGTCAACATCAGGCAGTGTCTTGCTGTATTGCTCTCTGTTTAAGAGTGTGATGGTAGAATCCAGCTGCTGCTAAGGCTCAGATACTCCTGGCAGCTCTTTGTTTCACAGGTGTTGACAGCCACCCTATTGAGACACTGCCCGTGAGTCCCTGGCTTACCAATTTCCTGGAGCCAGAATCTGTCACCTGAGAAGTGAGTTTACATTAAAATGGTATTAGTGCCACACCCTGATCACCACACCCTTCCCTGCCTCCCACCTGGGAGTCAGAGAACCTGTCCGCAGCCTCTGCTGTATAACCTCCCCCATTCTCAAGAAGAACCCATTTCTGCCACATAGGTTTTGATTCCTCTCTTCAGAGACCCCACCATGCTGTTGTCTCTAATTCTGAGGGCCTGTGCTCTCCTGGGAACCCCACCATGCTGCTGTCTCTTTAGTCGTAGTATTAATAACTTTGCTGATAGACTCCTTGCTCCTCAGTGACCAATTCCAGTGTCCTTTCTGAGATGCCCTAGGCCAGGCAATCTGCTGAAATTTTTCATTCTCCGCCATATTTTTTTATTTACTGGAGGTTTTGTTTTGCTTTGTTTTAAGACAGGGTTTCTCTGTGTAGCCCTGGCTGTCCTGGAACTTGCTCTATAGACCAGGCTAAGCCTCCAATTCAGAGACCCTGTCTCTGCCTCCCTCCCGAGTGCTGGTACTAAAAGCCTGTGCTACTCTGCCTGGCTCCACCTTGTTTTTAAAGACAACCCATCTTATGCACTCACCCATAAGTGGCTTTTAGACATAAAGCAAAGAAAAAGCAGCCCACAATCCACAATCCCAGAGAACATAGACAACAAAGAGGACCCTAAGAGAGACATACATGGATCTAATCTACATGGGAAGTAGAAAAAGGCAAGATCTCCTGAGTAAATTGGGAGCATGGGGACCATGGGAGAGGGTAGAAGGGAAGGGGAGAGGAAGGGAGGGAAGTGGAGAAAAATATATAGGTCAATAAAAACAATTTTTAAAAAAGACAACACGTCTCACTGAGCCTGGAATTCAGAGACTAGCTAGACTGCCTGACCTGCCCCAGCAAGTCCCCAGTCTCATCATGTCTCCACTTTCCCTTCTGATCCCTATGGGATCAGAGGGACACACCGCCACTCCCGGCCTTTCCCGTGGATTCTGGGGATCTGAACGCAGGCCCTCATGCTTGCACAGCAAGAAGTCTATCCACTAAACCTCCTCCCCAGCCCAGTGGCTGGCTTCGAATCCGAGCTGGTTCTGTGCTTGAAAAGGTACTTCAGTAGAGAAACAACAGAGGCTTCAGAGGCCGGAAAATGCAGCTTTTATCTCATTAACAACAGTCTCTGGAAATGAACAAAACCCAGCCTTGGGCTTTACTTCAGCTCCCTGTACATTCACTGATGACTCAAGATAACTTCCGCCTTCACTGGCCTTGGCTAAGTGAATCACCTGCTCTATCACTTAGCTTCCTACTGTTTAGTGTTGCTCATTCCACTCCAACCAAGCTGGCCCACTCGTCGCTCCATGCGCTGTGCATGCTCTTCACTCAGGGCCTTAGTAGCTGCTATCTTCCCTGCCAGGGAAACCACTACCTCTATATTCCACATGTCTTCCCCCATCAGCCTTTTTAAAACCACAGCTCGCTCTCCAGCCTGGTCAGTCTGATTGATCTCCTTCACAGTCCACAGTAGCATATGCCACCAGTTCCCGGTCAGCCTATGTGTTCTTAAAAGTTTGATCCTCAGTTTCGCAATATTGGGAGATGGTAGGCCCTTTAGGAGGTAGAGCCTGTTAGAACGCAGTTAGATCACTTGAAGTACGTCGTTGAAAGGGATATTGAGAATCTGTCCCCTTCCTGTCTGCCTCCTCTGTTACATTCTCCCACTATGCCAAAAGGCCTTAAAATGAGCATTAATTAAAACATCCGAAACCATGGGCAAAAATAAAGCTTCCATCTCTGTCACTGGGCATTCTGACCCAGTAACAGACAGATGACTAACACACTGAGTCAATGGTAATTTGCCTTTCAGCCTGTCAACTTTGACAATACAAAATGACGCACATTGACTAAAAACTAGTTTTTGAATTTTAAATCTTTTCCCAGGTCAGTGATTCTCTTTTAGGATACTTAATAGTGGCAGTGACTCACTGCTCCTGGTGAGCCACTCAATCAAGAAGGGAAAGAACAAATAGTCTACAGTGTGTTGCGTTACTAGACTACAATGCTCGGCAGCTCAGGGCTTTAAAACTCATTTTGACTTATGTTTTAGTTAGAGTGAGTTTGTCAGCATGTAAAACAGTCATGAGTTGAGGGGTGTCTATAGCAAATGAAGGCAAACTTAAATAAGGGCTTTTGTTTAGGAGGCTTGCATGCATGCGGGATAAAAATTACAAATCTAGAATAACAGGCAAACATCACTAGAGTGGTGCTCGTGGTGCAGGGGGACAGGGGAATCAGATGAGCATAGGAAAGGCATTGGGAGTTCCTAGTTCTATCACTTTCTTTTGGATTTGTTTTACAGCACTGGGATCGAACCAAGAGCCTTGCGCATACAAGGCACACATGCTATCTCTGAGACACCTATCCCCAATCCAGTAACATTCATTCTGGGTGGTGGGGACATATATGCTCGCTTATTTTTCTTTCAACTCTTTATATGTATGATGCATTTCATAAAAGCACAAAATAAAAGAGAGAAAAAAACATGAGCAGATTTGGGAAGGATCATATACTATTTCTAGAAATAAGAGGGATGGGAGGTAACTGAAGGGCCATGTTAGCTTCTGCTAACATTTTGTTCCATATCAGATCCTTGGTGTGGACTGAACTACCAGGACTTGTCCGGGCATGTCTGCGCTTCTCTCCCAGCCATCCCTTGTTAGCCACAAATCCTGGGGGCAAATCTGAAGTTTTGTTTTGTTTAAAATGCATGGTCATCATTTTTAAAACTAGAAATGCTTCTAAAAGATAACATATGTATACACCTGTACATATGTGCAAACACCCCATATGTACCTATAAAGAGGCAAAATAAATAGACATAATATTAGCAAGTACTGAATTTAGGTAGTTGGTGATATGAGAATAACACATCCTTAGATTATTCTTTTAATTTTCTTGTATGTATTCGATTGCTTAAAATAATAATAAAAAAAAAGTCGGAAGGCTTTAGCAGCATCTGTCTGGGTTATCACATGATCATTCCTTAGGACTCTCAGCTTGTTCCTCCATTTCTAGTACCTATGGTCCCTAAAGACATCTGTGTTTCCCAGCTCTGGCCTAGCCAGTAGACCCAGACTCCTATATTTTCCTGATTCCTGCATGTAAACAAAACATAGTCCTGGGGCATGATAAAGTTTCTCTCCCTCCCATTAGCTGTACTCAAACCCATACCCAAACTTTATATTTTTAGAACAGGCCAAGTACAATAAAAGATGACATCATTTCCCAGTACCCTACAGTGACAGAGAGCCACTCCCTCCCAGCAACTACAGTGACAATGGAAGGTATACTGTATCTTATAATGTACAGGTGAAGCCTTGGAAGAATCTGAACATATCAGCTAGCTTCTCCCACCCCATGTGGGGTGTGTGTGTGTGTGTGTGTGTGTGTGAGGTAACCACGTCATTCTTCAAATCCTTGATACAGCATTGAGCAACGTTGTTACCTACCCAGTGGTCACAGGCAATGTCTCCAAGGAGCCCCTTGAAGGTGCATAGGCACCAGAGAGCCTGTAGCCAATAAGCTTCCCCTTTAAGCTGAGTGACTCTTAGGCCCTTCCAGTCTAATCGCCTTAGACAGGACTGAGGTAAGTTTCCCAGCTGTCAGTTACTGGGCCACATTCAGGATGACAAGCTCATTCTTTGCAACCCGCAGTTTTCACTGTTGCAGCTGCCATGCTGCAATGAGCAAATCCGCAGCCCTTCCCACCTCCAGCTTGGCTGCTTCCCACACAGCACACAAAATGAATTCATCCTAAAAGCTTAGAGGAGTCTGCAGATTGCCAGAGATAGACAGAA